ATGAAGAACAACAGGAAAATTGTACAAATTGGTTACGTGCAGTTAGAAAGCGTTTTTAAAACGCTATTTGGTTTGAGTGATAAAATCCTTTAAAAAGAATATTGATGACTACCCTAACTCATCTGGAAAATCTGCAGCAAAATTTAAATTCTAATGAATCGATTTCGACTTCTTTATCAAATTTTCCCTAACTTTTCCGTAGACCTCTGGCTTTTCCCTTAATTCTGTAACACTCGGAACTCGAGAGTTACCCGCTAGGTGTCGTTTCTGCATCACTTCCGTATAATTTCTACTTTGACATTTCCAAATCTTACATTTTTTATGTTTGACGATGAATACTCGGATTATTGTGGAATGCATAGGCAATTAAAAGCACGATTAAAGACAAAAAATATCTACTAAAACAAAATATAATAACATATTTTGGTAACATGTGGTAGGTATATGATATTTTAGGCCCGGTATCCAAGAGGGGTCCAGTGTTAACAAATGGAAGTGATTTACCTTCTCTATTTCATAATACCGCGGGTATGATTTTTTAATAAAACCTTAATTCTAAGTTATTTTTTTTTTATTTTTTATATGGAATACATTGTAAATGTGTACTAGAAGATTAATTTATGGAAAAAGACGAATAAAAATATTATTGGACCCAGGGTATATATTGGGGGGTGGGGGTGGGGTGGGGTGGGGGGAGATCCTGTCCACAAGCACCTTTGCAGCATTCAAGCTTAAAAGACCATTCAAACAATAATAAATCAGGAGCAGTGCAAACCTTTTGAAATCAGAGGTAGAATCAAGTGCCATGGAACTTTCATGTTGTAAATTTTGAACTTAACGGTTGTCAGTAAATACAAAATTTACATGTCATGTTGTAAATTTTGTATTTACTGCTACCCGGTAAATTCAAAATTTATAGCATGAGAGATCCTTTTCATGCTAGCACTTACCCCGACACGAGACCTTATACGGTCTCATCCAAAGGACCTATCTCCACGTTTTACTTCTTATCCAAACTGGACATAAACATTCTCAATGAATTTTTAAATCATTGTGTTGAACCTAACAAATTATTCCGACTCGCTGTATGGTCTGAAAAAACAAAGCTGAACTTATCCATTCAGAAACCCACAGATTGGGATTGCTCTTAACTAGTGTGTGTTATGGCCTTGATGCAAGGTCATTTGGTCGAGTCAAGGTCACTGACAGTGAAACTGTAATTTCGCTACTGTATTTGTACTAGTGAAACATTGCTGGTATCATGCAGAGTGTGACATAGCCTTAACTCAAGTTCAAGGCCACTAAGGATAAGATGTTTTGACTGTATGTATGGACTAAAAGAACATGTGTCACTGTGAACTTTTCAAGTCGGTAACACACAGATTGGGTTTTATGACGAGAGTGTGTCATGGCTTGACGCAAGGTCATTTGGAATGTTCAAGTTCACGTACATTCCTTTACAGTTTTTCCTAACGAAATATTGTAAGTTGCTTCCTCTTACAAGATTGCTTACATGTATAACTTTAGAATGTGGCATGACATTGACTCAAGGTCACTTCCTTCCGCAGCTCCAACGAAAGACCTATTTGTTGCTTTGCAACGGGCTCGCTCTAGTTTATTTATTTATTTGTAAAAATATCTAATTTTGACCTATTGATTTTAAAAATATCTTGACCACAATTAGCAGTAAACTTAATTAACATCAGAAATAAAAGTCCTTAAACATCTAAATACGGTTTATCACAAAAAAATCATGCTATTTAACGAGAACACAATATTGTACGACTTACTATATTGCTTATTTCTAAGCGATAGTTAGTTCGTACTGCTTTTAATTATGTAAATCGCGCTTCATTTATTTTATTTGGATTGAAAACAAAACAGACAAGCGAAATGCTTGTATAACAAAAAACTTACAAAAACGAAATTTACACGTTTTTTAAAGCACGATCACGCACGATAAAAACCGCAAACGATTGAGTCTGATACACGTACGATCTAGCACGTTACATGTACGATCTCGCACGTTACACGAACGATCAGGCACGTTACACGAAGGATTCTACACGATTGGTTTGTCAACAATAACGTTGCAGCCACTGTATTTAGCATTTAACACTTTTTATTTTTTTTCCAAAATGCCCATTTTTAATGCATAAAAATAGAAGTAATTTCGTTTTTTTAAATCCGGAAATGGCAAAAATTATATATCAGTCTTAACAGCTTTGGGTTCTTTCAATGAAAACGGCACTCTGACACTGAACCCCAGTTGCTTAATTTAATAAAAACAAACATTTCCCATTAATAATTTGATAAAAGAACCGAATGGATAACCATCTTAACACAGGCTACATACAAACTGCCCTATGCAAGATTTCTACTTTCACTTTCATGTCAAGACCGTACATAAATATGTAAACGTTACTATTGACAAAGGGAAAACAAATCTGAAAAATTAGTAATGCTAAATGGTTTTTACTTTCGTCGATAACAAATCCAAAATAAAGTAGACAAGATCACTAGTTGTATCGTCTTTCTACGAACTGCATTAATTACAACTACAGTTAGATGTTATGCAAGTTACGAGAGTACTAGAAGTTCGTATAAATCTGTAACCCTAAAGAAATTCTCTTAACACCGTGAACTAAATTCTAAAAACACATCTGAGAGCACTTGCTTGTTCAAAGCGTCCATTCCTCTCCAGCAATGACGTCAAAAATGTCGTACGTACACTTTCATCCGATAAAAACCAAAACCGCTCCGGAAATAAAATGTGCAATGATTTTTTCACTCATATAATAAATCACAACAAAACGTGCTAAAATACAGATTTATTAATTCTTGATAAATTTAATTTGGGGAATACAATGTTCAAGAAGACAAATTTTGATTTGAAGAAAGGAAGGGGTGGGGCCTGAATTTGGAGAACCGAGCTGAGGAGGGGGTGCAGGGTAACAGAGTTGTTAACCCATCCCCATTTTTTACGTAAGCTTCTACAAGAAATGATCATTCTTTTGAATAAATAAGTATTAAAATTGATCTTGAGAAATGTTATTGAAATTAATTTTTAACATGCAGTCTACTTGCACTGGCGAATCCAGAAGGAGGGGGGGGGGGGGGGTTGCTTGTCAACTCTGTTCGGGGGTTGCCCCCTTCAAAAACCGTTGCTATGGGCTTGAAGTGCCTATGGTGCGATTCTAATCATGTGTGTTGGGGGCACCGACCTGGAACCCCCCTCCCTTTCAAAGTTTGCTTGATTCACCCCTGACGTGTTAAAATATAACATATAACTCATGTTTTTCATATTAGGCTAAATATTTAAATTATTCCCGGTTCACTGATTAACATTAAATTAATAAACATAATTTTTTTTATCTCGTTCAATTAAAATAAAATTAATTCAAATAACAATAACATTAATTTAATATTAAATGAAATAAATGTGAAAAGGCTATTAGTTATTATATAATGTTCAGTATGAATTTTATGTGCAACTCAAAACATAATTGTGTTGAACATATGTTTGAGACAACCATATGTTTAAAATATGTTCAACATACGTTAAACATGTAGTTACCTAAACATATGTTCAACATATGCTTTGAGTCTGCTATATGTTCAACATATATTTTAAACATATGTTTAACATATTTTTTAAACATATGTTCAACATACTGTCGAAAATTCATATGGTCAACGTATGTTGAACATACGTTGCAATTTTACCTGTGTGATATATTTTTCTCCACGTCCAAAAGTACTTTTTGTTAGTGTTTAGAGCTTCCTTAAAAGAAATGTAAACATGCTTAAAATACGTTTGAAGCATACTTTGTTTTACCTTACGACTGTTTATACGGAACTACACAAATAAATTAAACAAAATGAAATAGATAAACAAATTTAACAAAAATGAATTTGCGAAGTGAATTGATATATAACATTAATTAATTAATAATTAATTAAAGCATATATATATATATATATATATATATATATATATATATATATATATATATATATATATATATATATATATATATATATATATATATATATATATATATATATATATATATATATATATATATATTATGAGTAGAATAAACAAATAAATACATCTGGATATATAGATAAACACAATTAAACAAAAAATAAATAAATATATATATATATTTACATGCCACACATGCTACACGAGACGCAATGAATCGGTAATTCATTCTTTAGAAAGTAACTGGCATTCTCCTTATGATTTACATGTATCTAAAACGCTACATGTACTTAACTAAAACAAGCAAATACATTCATCTTAAGAAATAAAATTGCTAAAGATATTCAAACAATTGACTATTGTCTAAATCTATATTTTCACAAAACTTGAGAATTGCCATGAGTAACGTATTTCTCTCATAAGTAAATAGTAACGAGAACATATTTTAACCCTTTTTGTGGGTCAAACTGAATGTCAGGAGACGACAGGGAATGGATAGAGTGGTCAGGGACTTAGTCAGGGGACATCAGGCCTCAAGATCATGAAACATCTTAAGCTTAAGTCAAAAAATGTATATTGTGCTGAAATGATTTAGGAATGAAGCATTCCAAAATAAAAATGCTTTTTCACTTTACATCAATAAACTGCTGTTGTACGTAAGTTAAGAGTTTCGATTCACAATTAATAAACATTTTATGGACGATTGATATTTTGACTTAAGTCCAAGTCTGTTTCATGACCCCGGGGCCAGGGGGAGTTGACAGGGATGTCAGAGAATGTCAGGGGACAACAGGAGTTAAGACAGTGGTAACAGGGGCAAAGTCAGGGGACGTCAGTGAGTAGACAGGGTAGTCAGGGATAACGACAGGGGATCATACGAAAATGTCAGGGGAAGATAGGAAAATGTCAGGGACTGACAAGGGAACGACATGGTTTTTTTTTTTGGAATCTAAGAGGAAAATCATTAGAGTAGTGTATGCTTTGAACAATCATCTTTTTTTAATTTCAGATATCATATCTTATTCAGAGTGAGAGAAACACTGTATCTGAAAAAGTGTTCTTCCTTATTTTGGAAACCAAATTCATTGACTGGGAGTTCCGTAAAAATGCCATTCTGAAATCATTGGGAAATGTTATTGATGGAAGAAATATTTTGCATTCTCAAACGAATAAGGTGCATCTATACGAAACATTCTGCTGCCACCTAGATGATCAAATTAGGCAACTGCAGAAGAGGTTTGAAACCAGTGGCTCTGAACATGATTTAAAATTGGCTAAAGGAGTGAGGCATATTTACGAAAAAGTATTAAAACCAAATGCAAACATAAGCAGTGCATTAGAAACTGAATGTAAACATTTAATTGAACGGTAAGTGGTTTCTTGGTAACCCAAGTCACTCAAGTGACATATTGTGATTGATCGTCGCCCTTCATTGAATTGAATATTTTATCCTTTTCCTAAATGCTTCTTCAAATTTCACATGTAGCATATTGTATATACCACAAACTTAAATCTTTGATTTTCTTAATCTTAGCACACCTGAAACACAAGTGCTTTGCACATTTAAAAAAAAATATATGGTTAGGAAAAGCATAGGGCCATCTTTTCATGACTCGCAAATGAGTAGTTTGCGCTATATTTGTAAAACATCTCTACAACTACACATCTTAAAGATGAGTTGAATGCATGTTTAGGAAGAACAAACAACCCTTTACATTTTTTATTGCAGAAGGGAAACATTTACCTCCAATAATGGGTAAAAATAATCATTGTATGTATTGTAAAAGTTTTTTTTTTATCTACCTCTATACATCTTGAAAATAAAAAAAAATGCTTGGGAAGAGTCCATAATCCCCTCTACAAATTCTGTTTTTTTTTCATGTTCACCAGTTTAGATTTTTTTTTTACTCCGGACCAACATTTACTAAGGTTGTACCAAAGTTCGCAACAGTGTCAGTCTTTGATATATTAAATTGAAAGAAAACCGAAATAGCAAATAATATTTAAAAAAAAAGTTTTTGATGAAACTTTGCTCATTATTGCAAATAGACATCATAAACAATTGGTTGCTTAGTATCTTGGTTTCTATGGCAACAGCCAGAAAGTTCGTAAGATACAGACTTTCAGAAATTCTGTCGTAATTGATTCTTAATAAAAACAAATATATATTTTTTGAGAAATTAAAAAAAAAAAAAAAAAAAAAAAAAAAAAAAAAAAAAAAAAAACTCTCACAAAAATATTTAGCCTTGCTACTATAAGAAAATTATTCAGAATATAACTAAATAAGTAGTAACCATGAGTACATTTTAAATACATTTTAAATGTGAAAACTGCAGAAAAAGATCAACATTCACTAATTATAGTTATTGTATTATTAAACTCAACCAATATCAAAATAAAAACAATACAAATATATGACCTTAAGTAGTAAGGTATTGGTAATTCTCTTCTAAGAATAACTTTCATGGTTACTATGGTAACACAATGTTACCACACAGAATTTGTTGCTAAATTTTAGTTAATGCTGGTATCTTAAGAAAAACAATGAAATTTTAGTATGGCAATTATACATCATTAAAATATTCTTACACAAAAAAACATATTGAAAATGAATTGTAACAATGTACCATTGGTATTAACTGATAATTTTTTGCTGCTTTAGGAATTTAGTTACATTCTTAACAAGAAACAAATTATTTGACACACATGAAAGTTTACTTATCTGATAGAACTTATGCTGACTATCATAACTTGATAAAAAAAAAACACCTATAACTGTTGCTATGATTTTCAAGAAGGGAAAACGTCCAATCTTGTTAACTTTATATCTATATCAAACTCTGTTAGGTAGCTTGTTGCATCCATTGAGAGATAGTCTGGTAGTCAAAATTGAAATTCAATAATAGGATTTTTGGGTATCTCACCAGGGGTAAGTGTCCAAGGAAACAAATACTTTTTTTATATAAGCCTTATATATATATATATTAACGCAGCACAGTTAAGGCCGCAATAAGGAGGCGGGGCCTAATTTTTACGGGAATTCTTATTATGGCATCACACAAAAATACATGCTCTTCAAATTACCACAAAATGAAATGATACTCTATTTTAAACTGTTGGATAGCTTTAAACTACATCAATACTTACTACTGCATGTATTTTTGTCGATGGTTAAATCCCACACAGCAATATATAAACAATTCACTGATCGCAATGCACTTGTCAATGTGACGTCATATCGTAAAATTTGACGCAGTTTGTATGCAGTGAGAGGCGGATCAAGTTTTTTTTTTTTTTGGATACAATGAAAAATGTGTTTTGTAATTAAATAAGATATTATTTGCGGCCATTAATTTGGATGCGATGTCTATTTTATGATTTTATTCATATACTTCCCGTACATTCCCTAGACAAGCGATACTACCGTACATTTGTATGCAGATTCATTGAAGGGTAATAGAAGGGTCGTAATAAATCGATATATTGCAAGGACATACCCTCAATGAATTACGACAAGCTTTTAGACATAAATTCAAGAGGTATGAAGATATTTGAAAAGTGCTGCGAACCTGATGAAATCTTGCAAATGAATTAACTATATCTACATTTAATGTACTTGACCAGCAAAGTATTCAACATACGGTCTAACAAATGGTTTTTTAGCAATTATATAGTAGAATCTATATAGGTTCGCAGCAATTTTCACAAACTACAAAGAGTGTTGAAAATAATTATAAATTAAACTTAGATTTTTAACTTGGTTATGCCCTTGCAATATTGGAATTTATAGATGACCTCAATACTGCAGGTATATTTGCTAAAATCACGTGACTGCCACATTACGTGACAAATATAAATAAGAAATATAAACGTCCTCAACATGTAGTTTTCAGCCACATTACATTTGTCCGATAATAGTAAAGGCCTAAAAAGATTCGCCCATCCTTGTAAAGAATGTATTTTCTGTCTAAAAAACTCGCCGATATTTCCATTTGGCACCTTAACTGTACTGCGAAGTTCTATGATATCTCAAGCTCAAACCATTTAATTAATTGTTAAAACAAGTCTTCCAAATTAAAATATCATATAGTTTTAAGAAAAAGAGTGATGACAGAAGTCAGAACTTCGAACAGCCCTCGTATACGAAGGAAGATCAAAAAGTTAGCGAACTAATTGAATGACTTCAGTAAAAGAAACCAAATTTGATTTAAGTGTTTATTCTTTTGTAAAGTATACCCCTCCTGTTTTATTACACATAAGCCTCTGTTGTGCCCATGCATAAAGCACGTGGTCCAAGCTGTCACTTGACATGCTCTATAGCGCACTGTTCACATCAGCCCAAAGATTTTCCCTGCTCCTATATGTCTTCCCACACAGATTAATTTTTTTTAACATAAGAATAAACAGTTCGTCAAATGTCCCATCTTGTCAATAGAATGATTGGATTTGAATTCCTTTCCTACTGTGTGAGCATGGTGTCCATAACAACCCAACTCCTTTGTCTTGGGTGCATCGTGTATCCAGTGTGAATCAATTATGGGCGTTTTCTCTTTATCATATCTGATCTGTTGACAGTTTAAAGTAACTGAAAATTTAGGGATTATGTAATATTTTAGTGTTATGATTTTCATCTATTTCTCTAACCGGGGATCTGCAATTTTTTTTCTTTCTTTTTTACAAATTCCTCAACTTTGGACCACTTTTCTTTTAAATTCACTTTCACTGGCACCCAGCACCCAGAACGAACTGCAATTTTAACTATTTCCCTACCAACACAAAAACAATTAATCCAATTATTAGTTTATTTCTTGGCAAGCCCTTTGTCGCAATAAACTTTGTACAAATTATCATATATTACTGCAAAGGATTTTTAAGGATTTGCGTAACACATTAGAGAGTACAACCTATTCACTCCTTTTTTGTCACAAGTCATCCACATATTGAAGTCATTTTCCCATTGTGACGTCATAAACGTGAAGCAAAATATTATTTTATACATTATACTGGTGGAAATTCGACTTTCTGACTTTCTGTGTGCCAAATTTCATTCTAATGTGAATTGTGGTTATGTAGACATAGAGATAGTTCGCGAACTTTTTGATTACCCCTCGTACAGTGAAAATATACGTCATGTTGAAAAATGTTCTTCTTTACTCCTGCGCATTTGGAATATAAACTGAAAACAGGGCTCGAAAGAGCATTTCTCCATTCAGGAAAAATGCTCTACTTCCAGGGCGTGACCAAAATGATTCTATAGTACGTATGTCCATAATCTTTGAAAATCAGCATACACTCCTGGAAATAATTGAATGCACAAGATGAAACACTTCATCTACGTTTGGCTTATAGACGGCGTATAGATACTTAATTGATTAAGGGTTTTCTTTAAGTCAACTTTTGACAGATTAGCGCTATCTTTTTAAGTAATATTTACATAATCGTAAAGTTACCATTAACCCATATCAAACTCCTTCATGGGTGCTTAATGGTAGATCAAAGGTGGCTTAACGATAGATTATATATGTTTAAAGGTGGCTTCTAGACTGTCTTTTAGTCACCATTAAATCATCATAAAGCCAGCTGCTTAATGTAAAAACTCCTTTAAGCTGCCTTTAAACCATCTTTAAGCCACCATTTAGCCACAACGATTGATTAATTGATTGATTGTATGTTGTTTTACGTTCCGTTCGAGAATTTTTCACTCATATAGAGACGTAAACATATACCTGGGAAGGGCTTCAATTTCAGACCTTTACTCGGCACTCAGGGCCATTGAGAAGTGATAGTTCTTTATCGTGCTAACACCTACCATAACATGGGGCCTCGGTTTTTAAGGTCTCGTCCGAAGGACCCGTAACTTTTATTTCAAAGTGCCGAGCGCTTGGCGAAGGAACAGTTGCTACCTGTTTTTTATCGACTTAGGTCAGTCGCGGTCGTGATTCGAACATATGACCTTCCGATCACAGAGCGAGTACTCTACCAATTGAGCTTCCGAGACAGCAGCCACAACGAAGACCGACTATTTTTATTAAGGTGTTAAATCTATTAAGGATTTAAAAAATCTTCATATTCCTGTATTCCTTCAAAACGCAAAGTAATTAGTGCTACTTAAACATAAATTAATTCAAATTGTTCATCCTGAAATTCAATCATTGGAAATTTAGTCTATGCCAATCTATGGGATTTGTCTGTTTCTTTGTCCGTTTTGGTTAAATAAACATGTTTGTACCCAAAGTAAATTGAACAAATTCAGAGAGATAACAGCATACTTTTATGTCAAAAAAAAAAAAAAAAAAAAACAACTTGTAATTTAATTTCTATGTTGAATTTACAGAATAATGTATACATTTGTATACAAAGGTCTAGGGGCTCCTAATTCATTTTTATAAATAAAATAAAATAAAATAAACAGATGAGATTGCTATATAAATTTGAATATATATGACAAGATAGCTCAGTGCTTTTGGTACACAGTTAATCCGAAGTATTTCTTTATGCTTTAGTTAAGAGTTAATCTAGAAGTGTATTTAATATTATTATATATCACGAGGATACACTTTTACGAAATGCTTTTTTTTAATACAGTTCTGACTTTCTTACGGCGTATATGATTCGAAAGAATATTGTGTGGGTAATTGGAGACACTCTACAGAAGAAAAATGAGAAACCCTGGCCTGCATCTTTTGAGGAGAGAATACGGAATGAAAATATGGAAATTAAATTTGGGGAAATAAGACCCCAAGGACTGTGTGTCGGTTCAAAACTTTTTCGTCAGGAGGATATGAGGATATTTGGATCAATAGGGATGTTTGGCACATATAAGCATGAGAAAGATACCCAAGTCTGTGTAAGCAGTGCGCATATATTAAGAAAAGAAGACACAGGATATATAGAACATGAAGGAAAAATACGAGAGCTTGGAAACTGTATTTGGCCAATGAGTTCCGTTGTATCTGTTTTAGATGAAATGAGCGTTATTGCATTGGATGACAGCTTACAATTCTCAGCTGAAAAGCACTTACATGAATCAGTTAAACTATTTGAGGGAAGTCCCAGTGAATTATTAAATCGTAAAGTTTTCAAGTTTGGTGCATCCTCTGCCATGACGAAAGGTTTTGTGGATCAAGTAATAGTTACATCCCTGGGTCCGGAAACAGCCTATGGAATAACACCACATCCAAAAAATTCAGTTTTTTCCACTGAAGGAGACTCTGGGTCAGTTGTTTGTACAAAAATGAATCGCACAATATATGCTATTGGGTTGGTTATTGGCAAGTTTGAACCACATGATGAACAAACTAGTGAGAATATAGATACATTAATTATGGTATCAAATTTGCAGATGGCGGTTTTACGTTTCAAGAAAGAAATGGGAGGAGAAATAGGAGACTGGCGCCTTTAAAAAAAAATATGAAATTGAAATCCTCTGAATATTTTGTAAAAAAGATTCTCTATTCTTAAAAAAAAGAAATGTTTGATATCTTGTATGTATCTAGCTGCAGAACTGTAGCTCTCGGAAAAAAAATATTGACAGACCGGAGAGCTACAGTGCCACCCATAGAGAAAACTGTATATTTACTCTGCACAAAAATTGCGCTTGATTCCGGTTTCATTTCTCTAAATTCTTACCTCAACTTCAACTGCACAAAAACTCGATTTCAAGATATTTCTTAGACTTTTATCAACTACTGTCGTAGTTAACTTCTGCACGAAGCGCTGTAGACCGAATTGTCTTGCCACCCAAAATGGCAGTATAAGTAGGCGAAACTTTCGATGGTCTTCATTTCAGGTCCTGTAGGACTATTTCCAACGGTTCCGGGGGAATGTTTTGTTGTGGAAATAGTAAAATAATATGTTCGTAACAGCCGGTTAGTAATATTTTGAGATGGCAGTTTAAATATGCAGAGAAATATAAATTCATAATTGAGCACAACTTTTTGTGCGCAATAAATATACAATTTTTTCTATGGGTGGCACTGTTGCTGTCAGGTCTGTATATTTTTTTTTTTTCTGAGAGCTACAGTTCTGCAGCTAGTATGTGTTTTTCATTATTGTAATTGCAAAATCGTAATTTAAATGTTTGAAAGACAAACAACTGAATTATGATCTTATCTATGAAATAGCGGAGACATACTGTACACGTAAAATGCTAAGTTTTCATATTAAGCAATTTACATTTAAGCTAGGTTGTCGTCCATTTTATGTACATGTAGGTTGTGATAATCACTAAACATTCTCATACAGTGTAACTTGAGTTTCATTTTACAGATCATTTATAATTTAATTCCTCGCTGTAAATCATTGTTCTATCAGGCGTGTTTAATGGAAAACTTATTAAAAAAAAAAAAAACAACTAAAAAACCAAAACAAACAAACAAACAAAACCTAGTAACTGGTCCACTGATAAGAATATATTATTTTTTAAAGTTATTTTCAAACAGATGATCATTTGAATAGTTTGTGTTCCTAACTGGTTCAGGACCCTCCCCTCCCCCCCCCCCCCCCCTTCCTCCGCACCACTACATACATGTACATACTGGAGCGGCATGTTAACAAACAGAATTCTAAATGTTTAAAAATAAATAAAACAAGAAAGAAACACACAAGAATTCAATAACTGTAAACACGAATGATTAAGTATATGAACTTAAGATAATAACGTCTCGTGTTTGTGTTTATATATATATATATATATATATATATATATATATATATATATATATATATATATATATATATATATATATATATATATATATATATATATATATATTTACGTTTTCGTATTAAGGTATCTTTGCTTGTTCAATTTACTTTTCATGCACAAGTAGAAAACGTACACGTCTAGTTTACAATATATATATATATATATATATATATATATATATATATATATATATATATATATATATATATATATATATATATATATATATATAGTTTTGTGCCATGCGGATTGTGGGATATTTTGTGTCTTTTTCACTCACGTTGTGGGTATCATGGATGGTTTATGGGTCATTATATATTGACCCACAAACCATGTGCCTAAAAATTTGTTAATGACAATAATATAGTTACTATTTCCATTTTTTACAAAAAAAAATTTTTTGACCCATAATTACACACTCAAAAAATGACCCACAATGCAATTATATATATATGAAATCTTACCACTCTTTGGATTGGCAGAATTTCGCGCGTGACCCACAATATTTTATATACTTTCCCATGAGTATTGGAGGGATTATGGGAAACAGCTAGATTTTAAAGCCTAATTGCAGTGAATCATTATCAGATTGTAACGCTTTATTTATTTACATGTATGTCATGCCATGCACGAGCTTTTGTTTTTAATGTACTACATCGTATAAATCTAGAAAAAATAAGGTTAAATAATTTTATAATTTTTAATCGTACGATAGTTGTGTTCTTCCTAAAGTCTATATAATTATTCAGATATGAAGAAAGCTTCAAGTATATCATTTTATAAGATAAAATGACTTTAAAATGTTACTATAAAGAAGGCGCGTTACCCTGATGTGAACCGTGAAGTCTAAGTAATAAAGAAATATGTCAGTATGAAGTCGCAGAAAATCATTAATAACTTAAGGATTATTCAGAAAAAAATTTATCACGCGTTAAGATTTTAGGGAAGTGTAATCAAAATAACAGTGATTTTAACATTTTATAGATAGACAAGTACAACTGTACATATCCCACGATGTTCTTTATATCAATATATTGACCCAGAATGATGTATAGTTGCCTGTACTTTGATCCAGCAATATTCTATATCTATATATATGTACATATAAATGACCCATAATTATCCGATACATGCATTACATGTAGAACCTTGATATAGATATATAGATATATTTATGTAATATATGTGTTTATAATATTAACACATTTATATGAGAGAAAGATTTGGGAACAAAAAAAAAATTACGTCAAAAACGTATTGAATAAAACAAGTAATTCAAAGCAGGACAATCTCTAACCATTTTACTCGCTAAATAGTCTCGAGTATTTGCTTTCATCCTCCCACAGGATGAACCTCTGCCATTCAGTCAATTGAATGGTCACTGAAGGTTTGAAAAGGTGACCACTTCGCGGTTTATAAAGCGTAAACTGCCTAAACCCAGTATATATCCAACAATGTTCTTTTACTTTTTTGTATATATACTTTTATCTTTATACTTATATACTATCCCACAACAATATACTCGTACTGTACATTGATCCCGCAGCATTATATATATATACAAATTAATGACCCACAATTATATCACACATACCTAAATATTGAGTTATATAAACTAATTAAAAATAGACCATTAATGACATAAAATGTCTCTAAAATTTATTTTAAAATAAAAGGGTGGGTCATGATGCTGGAGTAAGAAATACGCATGTTGATCCACTTATAAACAAGTCTTTAGCATCTGACCAGATATTTGTTTTGTAAGACATAAACACAATCAATGTAAAGTTTTCCACCAAAAAACTACTCGCACTCGATCGTTTTGCTTAGTAACTTATATTACAGAGATACATTGCTTCTAGTCAAAGAGGCTTCGTTTCGGGATAGTGTATTTTGTATATTGAGTGTTTAAATTCACTAATTATATTAAAAATCGGAAATCACTGAAATCCACAGTTTTTTTTAAAATCATATTTCAATGTACATAAGAAAAGTGATGACACTCGACATCTTCGATACCAGGAAGTGCCTCGGTCCACACTATAAATAGGCGTCGGAACCGGGAGGGGGGGGGGCTAGGGGGCTTAACCCCCACTTTTTTGCTAAGATATACATAATATAGGTATTAAAATTGGAGCTTACATTTTTTTTAAGATTTAGCCCCCCCCTTTCAATTAGCCCCTCACTATAATTTGCTTTTGACGCCTATATTATACAATTATTTAATGCATGAGCAGTCAATAGACCAGGCTTCTGGGCCACCAACGCTGAGATTTTCTCTAATCTGAGATTTTGTCAGAATATTTGAGTTTTTCTCACCAAACTGTGCCACCAAATAAATATTCTCTCAAACTCAGACCTATCTTTTGAGATTTCTCTTAAATCTGAGATTTTTCTCAAATCTGAGATTTCTCTCTAGCATCCGTGCCACCAACGTTTTTTCCAACTCAGCTGAGTAAAAAAATCTAAGATTTCTCAGAAAATCTTGAGATTGGTACATAGTAGTCTCAAATAAAATCTCACAGAATTATTTTATGGTAAAATGGTTGCAAATGTTATGAAAGTGCATATTTTAATCCATGAATACACGAAATTAACATGCAAGCACAGAGAGCATGTTAATTTCTCCCAAAAGATCATCCTGTGATATACCGTATTTAAGAAGGGGGAGGGGGTCTTACGCACATGTAAAAATCTTATACATGTACATATAATATTGTCCACGCATTGAAACAATGTATTTGAAACTTTACCAAAAGAAGAAAGAAAATAAGGAAAAAAATAAAGAATATTAATTAATTAAAGCATTATTTTTATGACACGTTATACATAACAGGTATATTTTCATTCATACAGGAATTCATTTAATTAATTAATTAAATTCATATTTTTGTGTGCTGTTTAAGGTTAGGCAAATTTATTAATTCACAAAGTACATATACATCAAAAAAGGAAATATGACTACATTATGTAGATAAAATACCAAACCTCCACAGCCTCTTTGTTCTTTCTCCGGTAGTTATTTTTTTACTTGTACCTACTCGCCCGTGTAAATTATACGCAAATATTTAAAGAATGTTGCCTAAAATTCTGTGTACAAATATTGCTAAGCTTTTGATTCTTATTAATGAATAAATCTATAAAATTCTTAATCGTGAATTGGAATCTACTTTATACTCACAGTGCATCACACACAAAAATCCTTAACCGTTCAGATTATTTATAAGAATAAGCATGACTTATGACCATTCTAAAGTACATGTATAAATTACGGTAAGAACTTACAGTAATCTTTTTTTTAAATATACTTGAACTTGAACTTGAACTTGAACTTTATTCTCATAACTGACAAAACAGTGAAGAGAAGATATGTACAGTATAATAAACAGAAAATATTACATGCCCGAAGAAGGGGTAACAGAGTATGTCAACCAAGAGAGCCAACTCTCTCAATTATAATATCTAACAATTTACAAATTTTGCTAAGTTGATTAGTATTGGTTACATTAAAAAGCATTTCAAATTTCAAAACATTTGGATTCAAATGAAAATACTTTGACAAATACATAACTCTTGAGTTCTTTATAGACATATCAGTACATTTAAATAAATAATGAAATTCATCCCCAATTTCGTTGCTGTTACATAATTTACAAATTCTATTTTCTCTAGGGATGTTAAACCATCTACCAGTCTCAATTGGTAATTTTGTATTCCCAGTTCTAAATAAACAATATTTCTTGGATTGTTTAGGAGGCAAATTCAACAAATAGTCTTCAAAGATTAATGATTTTTTAAAAATTCTATAGTTCAAACCTTTAGGGGAAGTTTGTACATCACTAAACCATGTTTGCTTAAACTGATCTAAGAGAGTGGTATATACCTTATTTTTTAGCCAAGATATATTAATTGAATTTTCATACCACATATAAGTCAATCCACATTCATTTAAAATTTTCTGAACAAAATCACACCATGGATTCTTACATATTTTCAATGCACATAAAAGTTTTGCAGACAATTTAGAGCTCTGAGCATTAATAAGTTTACCCCAAAATGAGATCATTCTAACTTTGATATCAATTAATAAAGGGTGTCTACCAAGTTCTCCGTACACCATAAAGTTTGGTGTTGATGTTTTCAAGCTTAGAATATGTTTACAAAATTTTAGGTGTAATTTCTCTATTAGTTTAGTATTGTGAAAACCCCACATTTCACATCCATATAGAAGTAATGGTTTGATAATTTTATCAAACATGTCTAATTTACAATCCATTGATAAGTTATGTTTTCTACATCTACCAATAACACTATACATTGCT